GTTGTTCCTGCATTCCAGGGAAGGAATGCTGACTTAAGGATGTGGAGGAAAAGGGGGGAGGGGCACATCTAGTTAAGATCTACCCACTTCACCAGTAGTCCTTTGATGGCCCAGTGTCTGGCCTGTAAACTTCCTTCAGGAATTAAGAATTGAATGAGGACATCTGCTATTCTCTTGGAATCAGGCCCCTGAGGAGTCTATTGGGTATTACAGATTCACAGACAGGGTCTGGGATTGGAGCTTGTCATGTTCTTTACAAGGAGTTTGAGAAAGAGACTGCTGTACGTGGGTGTGGCTTGATGAGCCCCTAAGCCCCAAGCCTAACACCTTCATGATCCAGTCATCTCTCAACTGAGCCAACCAGCTAGGGACCAAACCTTTGCCACATGGCCCTTTGGAAGAACACTTCATACTCAAACCACAACAGACACAAGCCTTTTGTCTAAATTTGAATGACAAGTGGAAAGAAAATAGAGGCCTGGGTTTATTACGAGAACAACAAAAATGACTAATAACCTCAGGACAGGATGTTCAATATTTACGATGTCACACATTTTTATTCATATGTCTTAGTGGTCCTGTGGCAGGCTGAGGACATGTAGAGAAATAAAATATGTTCCATGAGAAATTTAATTCTGGAGAGAGGAAGTAGGTAAGTCTGAAACGTAGCATTTTTTTCTAATGAAGATATGTTCGAGAATTTCAAAAAAGCAAGTCAAGTTTGTTCTTTAAAGAGATTATAAAATTATATATATAATTTCCTCATCAACTTCCCAATCAAATTTCCATTTCATTTTCATGAAAAAATATGAGCTACTTCATTAGCTCATGTTAATATGTGAATACATGAGAACAGACTGAGTGATGCAGGCCTGAACCTCCAGGAACGGGTCTTGAATTCATCTTCTATTCTCTCCTGAATTTATTTTGATGGAAATATAATTCTAAGCTATTTCAAACAGTCTTTGTGCCTGGCATGGTGGTATGGTCTATGGTCAAAACTACTTGGGAATCCAAGGCAA